TATATTCTGAAAGAAAAAGCAAATTGAGTATTGACTTGGAGAAAACATGATTTCCTTCCTGATGTCCCTTTCATCAGCTAAGTGACCATGAGAGAGCCATTCATTTGGCATCAAATTAGCAGAGAAGTTTGTTTATTGAAATCCAGTGTTGTGACAAAATCAAAGTACTTATGGATAGCATCCATAAACTCCTCAGAGCATGGAACAGAGTGGACAAGAAGAGACTAATGAGACCTTTTGCACTTAGAACACTGAACCAAAACCTCCATTTGATCTAGGACTCTCTCCTCCCCTCTCTTTCTTGCTCTTTTTTTTTTTTAATTAATGTTTGGGGAGTGACATTGGTAAATATGAACATATATTTCTTTCTCTCTTAAAAAAATCCTTAGCCTAGGATATGTTTTTATTGATTTTTTTTTCTAGAAAGAATAAGGGGGAGAAAGACAGAAACATCGATGTGAGAGAGAAATATGGATTGCTTGTCTCAGGTCCAGCCCGACTGGGGATCCAACCAGCAACCTAGGTATGTGTCCTCACTAAAACTGAACCCAAACCTTTTGGTGTTTGGGACGATGTTCCAATCAACTGAGCCACCCTGCCAGAGTCAGTCTCTCTCTCTCTCTCTCTCTCTCTCTCTCTCTCTCTCTCTCTCTCTCTCTCCCTCCCTCCCTCCCTCCTTCCTCTCATAAAGTCATGTATTTTGAGCCAGGCACTGATCTCAGTTCTTTAAGTCTGCAGTATTAACTCATTTAATCCAATACAACACCTATAAGGGAGTCATTACAATTCTCTCCATTTGATGGCCGGCGAACTGAGGTACCAAGAGATTAAAGAAATTGCTGTCATATAACTGTTTAGTGGGGTAGGTGGCATTCCAGTCCAGTCTGGCGATAGAATCTGTACTTTTAACCAGTACGCTTTGCTTTCTTTCTTTGCATTTACCCCGTTAACATGATGTTTACTGAAAAATAAGATGTAAACTAATGAAAGGGGTGCGAAGGGTTAATGCTAAAGCACATCCGCGAGCTGGGAAAAAAAGACCCCCCACACACACACACACAAAAACTCACAAACAAAAACAAACTAGCTAGCAAAGCCTGTTCCAGCCCCCGCAGGATCGTCAATGGGCCTCCTGTTTCTTTAAACTCTCGCTTTCGCTCTGGCTGACACTTTACAAAGCAGCTGTGGCGGCTGGACCACGCGGCCCCGCGCCTCCTCCCTCCACCCGCCCCGGGGGGTCTGGGGTTCCAAGGGGCTTCGCGGGGTCACTAGGCATACCCGCTCTGGTTTGCTTTCCTCACACACCACCCCCTGCCATACGAGCCCTCCCGGGACAGGGGAACTCTGATTAACCCTTTTGAGTCCAGAAAGAACCTCTTCCGCGGCCACGACCCCCCGCAGTCTGGCCCCCGCCGTCTGGAGCTAAGGCGACCCGGGGGCCAGGCGGGTGGGGAGCCAC